AATAATTAAAAATATATTGCATGAATGCTTACAGTTTAACTTTGAAAATGGTCAATTCTGCCATAGAGTCCCTTCTGTTTGGAAAATAAGATAAAATATATTAAAATGTTTTGTACCTATCATAAGCCCTAATAAATTCTAATATGTATAGAACAAAATTTTTTTTTAATTTTAAGTTTTAGGGGTTTATTAAGAGTTTTTAAAATCAATAAAAAGGGAAAATAATTCACTTTTTGGATTTATAAAACAATTTGGAAAACCTGTAAATGTTAATATACAAAAATAATTTTTTGTGCTATTCATATTAGGATTAAATTGCACATATGATAGGCATAAAATATTTTCAATTATTTAATTTTATTTTCCAAACAGATGGGACTCTATGGCAGAATTGACCATTTTCAAAGTTAAACTGTAAGCATTCATGCAATATATTTTTAATTATTTATTGATATTATTGAAATATAGTATCCCCTCTACCAGACCCACTACTCCACATCATTGTAACATAAGTAATCTTTACGCTGACTATGGGTCCAGCATATCGTCCAATATCACAGAATATTCTTGTTTATTCAGGGCTACCTCATAATGAACTTTAAATGTGCCAGAGTATAGATTTTAGCTATAATTAATAAGCGAGTTATTAAACAAATGATCGTTGCAGATTTAATTGATCCACTTTATATATAAATTATGTCACAATAATGTGTGAGATTATAATTTTATTTTTATTAAAACATTATTAAATCAATTTAAAATTTTGCAATCAATGCATTTAAACATTAATATAGTTTTTCAAAAAGTTATATAAGCTACTAATTTTAAATTTTAATTATTTTAAACTTAACAAATTAAATTCTGTTTGGTACATAGTTATTTATTTAAATCCAAAGCTTAATGAACCTCCATTTCCACCAAAAAGATTACCGGTTTGGTCACCATATGAACCTGATCCAGTGCCAGCACTTACAATATCACCAAGAGGATTTTCTGCACAGTTACCACCTTGCTCAGTGTCACCTGTTACTTTCCCAATTAAATCCTTGCCGGCATTTAAGACACCTAGATTAATTAGTAAGTTAAAACTGTATAGAAAATATCTCTATTCACTTTAATCATAATAATAATAAATAATATTTATCTAGATTATTTGTGGGTTAAATTCTTATAATTAATTATACATACCACCACCTGTTACTTTTCCAAATAAATCTTTTCCAGTTCCATATGCACCTAGATTAAATATAAAAATCATTAAATTATATAATACAACATAGAAATAATTAATAATATATACTATACTGTAAAAGTTAAATTTAAAATCTATCTAGCGTATATTACTTATAATTCATTATGATAATGTATAATATATTAAATTAACAAACCTTTAACAAAGTCACCATTTATTAGACCTCCGATTACACCTGTATTCAAAACTTTATCTCCAACTGCGGCTCCATTTCCTATAGCTCCCGTTACAGCACCGGTAGCTTTGCCTAACATAGTGTCCTCACCGCCTAACGCACCCTTCACGACACCCATCGTTTCCTTCAGTCCGGCGCCGACACCCGTACCGACGGCCGTACCGATAGCACCACTGACCCCACCCCCGGCAACAAAATCGACAGCATGGTCAATCAAACTTTCCTTGCCGTCTAAAACACCTGTCACACCACCCGTCAGTTTACTCACACCGGCACTAATACCACTGCCGATACCATTACCGATTGCACTACCGATACCAGCAACCCCAGTAGCACCGGTACTACAGTGAGTGCTACCATCGACACCTTCATGATTGTCAGCGCTAACTTCATGTACTGCCGCGGCACCGGCATGTAAAGCCCCTGTAATTTAAGTAAATAAAAATAATTATTATTTAATCGGGATACTTTTGATTGTTATGTTAAATGTTAGACATACCGTTTGCTAGGGCACCACCTATTAGGCCACCGGCCAATAAACCCCCGCCGGCCAATAAAATGCTACGGCGCTGTACTACTGTCCCCTGGCATAGTACTAGGGTTGCTACTAATACAATAAGTTTATACTTATACATAGTTTTAATGTATACACTCTATGTCAGTGAACAATGAATTTAAATGACAAAACTACCGTTCCTTTTATAGTTATATGGATATATTTAGGCGGATATATTTTTTTATTAAATAAGGAAACCTTTATTTAAATTAATTATTAAATTACAGGTGTGCATGTGAAAGCTAAAATTATATATAATTAATAAATGTGAATGCTAAAATAAATGCAGATTTAAAAAAAAGAAAATTTGCCATTGATAATAGATTTGATATAACTTATGTTAAGTTCATTTTATGGGCATACGAACTATATGAACATATTTAATACAGTATAAAATTGCATATAAAATGCGATAATTTATAATTTAAAATGTTCAAAACATATGATAATTTATAAATTAATTATAATATAAAACAATAACTAGTTTATTATTCATTGTAGACCTGGAAATAAATGTCATATAATTTAATAAATAATTGCACCTTTAAATGCCCTTAACACAATTAACTATAATATGTGCTTGATATATTATATTGTTTATATAAAATAAATATGTTTAGTCTAGACTAATTCAATAGCGTGTGCATGATTAATTATACCTGTAGTAGTAGTTACTTTTTGGGACTTTTAATATATCGTTAATTAAATATAAGTTTTCTTAATAATAAGCAAGGATATAATAAAATAGTCGTAAACCGCGATCAAAGACATGCCCGTGTACATGGATATTAGCCCACCCACATAGCACACCATGTCCAATATGGCAAACATAGGCGAATAGTTGTTGATAGTATGCTCGGTAGACCAGTATCTAATAGATACAACAGCCGGGTTACTCATCAGATCAGGGTCAGTTGAACTCCAGTCCTATAATATTAAATAAAATTCATAATAATAATAATAATTGATAAAAATGAGTCAGTTTACAAAAGTACGTTTTCAATAATAGAAATATATAATTTGTGCGTGTGGGCGTACAAAAAAACATGACCAAGGACGACATAGTAATAAAACTTTCGCGTGATTTATGAATAATTATTTCAATTATGTCTTACAGTTATGTCTAGGTGGTTAATTATATACGTAAAATATATACTCTCAAGACAATTTTCAAATCTAGCAAAAGCCCTAATATTTGTAAACAAAATGAACATTTTAAAATTAATACTAAATGAACATTGAACATAAAATTAAACAACCTTTTAACTATAGCCTTACCGCACGGCCGTAGTACTCGAGCGGCAACTTCTGGACAGACAGCTCGTAGTTATCGGTCCAACACGAGGGTCGGCACTCAACCGCACATTTCATTCGGGCCTTTTTGTCCCAACACATGCCATAAAGGGCCGCCGCTATGGTAGTGAAAAATCGGTACAATTTTGATATACTAGCACAATTATTAATAATTATTATAATTAATAATTAAGTCTTATCTGGGCAGATAAATTATTACAGACAGCAAACATGTAAACTAATTCACAACAGTCCTATTAAAAACAATAATAATAATAAATGTACCTGCTTGAAATCTCCACCGACACCATGATATATTTCGATGGACGTCCAGAGAATTGTTATACACGTACGCTAACTCCGGGGGCCAACATGCACAATTGCTCATCGTAATTTTAGATGCACAAAGTGAAGCACATTGCTGGATTTAAAATTATTTATAAATCATCTGGTACTATTTACATAATATGCAAACCTTTCGCGATAAGGCAATGGATGCAAAATCCTGAGTTTGGTTCACTAGTGTTTCGCCAATAGCCATATAATCGACACAATCGGTCGCGTATGGCGTTCGTAGCATTTTCGTCGATTTCCGGTTGATGTAGAACTGGTAGTAGTATCCGGGCTCCAGTACGTAGCTGTTGGACAGGGAGTTACCGATTTCCGTGTTGTCGTGTATGGATAACCGGCCGCTGACCGGTAACTCTCGTAGCGTGTACTCCACTGATTGAAAGTCCAGTTCGAAGCGAATGATTTCATTTGTGTCGAAAAATGACTGACCCTTAGCTATAAAAGTGTGTGATTGAGGGTTAATGGGTCAGTGAGTGAGTGAGTGAGTGAGTGAGAGAGAGAGAGAGA